AAACTTCTTTTGTATTAAAAATGCATTACGTAATCACTAATTAGCATTGCCAAACATAATTGCTTTGATAAATTAAATCATCTAAGTGTTGAACTATTATGCTATTATAAAACTTCTTATGATAACATTGTCTCTAGATCAAGTAACTCAAGCTAACTCAGTGTTCACCTATAGAGATGGAAAATCTACCCTGGATTACCAGTTTCCTGACTTTGTGCCCTTTTTCAATGACTCTGCAACTGCCAGTCAGTTACAAAAAGCAAGAGATGTTTGTAAAAATGGGTCAGATTCTTGTGTTTTTGATTACATAGTCACCAATGATGTAGACTTTGCTATCAATACAGATAACACAATTTCACAATATGAGGCTTTAACTAATACTCTAGGTAACTATATTTAATTTTAATAATTTGCAAATGATTTAACGTAATTTGACATACTAGTTTAGTTTTTTTTATTGTTGTTAAAAAAACAAGGATTTTAATACTTAAGAAGTAAAATAAAACCACAGGCATCAGCTGCAAACATATATAACGTTAACATAATGTTTAGAATGTTCATAATTTAAGTAAAAAAAAACGTTTTGAAAACACTAGTAAAATACCAGAGATCACGGTAAATGGAGAAGTTGTCTGTCCCCGAAGAAGATGAAGTAGAGTTTACCTGTTTCTGTATGAAGTGATAGTGTGACCAGTCGCAGGTTAAACCCCCAAATTGAAATTTAGGTGTTATGACTTTTTTGAGTGATAAAGAAGTTGTAACTAACATAGTATATGAAAAAAATGCAAAAAAAAATCATTAAAAAGTTATGATTTTGTGAAAAATATTTTCTAAAAAGTGTCATTTTTAGGGTAAAATAGCTCAAATTTAGCTCTCATTGAAATCACAATAACACAGCGTCTGTTTGTCAGAATAACCCAAATGTTTAACATAGCGTAATATACGCAATTACAAAAAAAGTTGTACTAACATAATCAGAAAATAATAAAAAATGGATTTTAGCCAAATTTTTTAAATGTGAGACCTAAAAAATTTCCAAAAAGTAGGGAGTAGACTTAGCTTTTTATTTATAAAATGAGAAGTTTCAAAGATATAGAAATTCGTTTAGTTCAACGTTACCAGCAGTGTTTAGAAAACATGTGTTCACAATTTCAGCTAAATATCTCAAGTAGTTTTTGAGTTATAGTGATTTAACTGGTACAATTTTGTTGAAAAGTAACATTTTGAGAAAAACGCTAAAAAAACGTGAAAAATATACTAAATTTGAAAAAAAAAACCGAGAAAAAGCGAAAACTATACCGAATAAGTCATTTTAAAAACCTCCGAGTTACATAAATTGCATCTGGAGCCTCTTACTCAGCAATTAGAACATCTATTTTAGTTAGTTTTTAATTTTTATGTTGCTAAATGTTGCTTAATATAGGCGAATTACGTCATTAGTCTCATTAATTAAAAAAATTATAAAAAATACTAGCAATACGAAATTTTGCAAAATGATTATACAAAAATGTTCAGAATTGAATGTAGTTTCAGAAATAACTGATTTTCAAAAATCAACATTTCTGACTTAAATATGTATTTTTTTTTGGGGGGGGGGGTTTAACCTGCCCTTAATTTCTCTAACGTGGGTCAGGTACATTCAGAGCTGAGTGGACTCCGACGTAGGGACTCGAGCCATGGGTCTGATATCAACAAATTCTTTTGAGCACATTCACTTTTTCATTCGACCTCATCGTAGCATTGAAAAAGGAATGTAATAGTTGAATGAAACATGTTTTTTATTTGTCCTTTTTCCTAAAATGTGTCCTTGAAGTGCCAATAAAAAGCAACTTAAAATGTTTGTAATAATTTTTCTAGTTTGTTAACATCAGATATTACTAATAACAAGTGTTAAAAAGTGAATTCTTATTCGTTCATTTTACCCCTTTTTGCTAAATAAGTAGAAATGAATAACAACAAATATTTCACGTTTACTGATCATATTCTACAGCAAATTCCATCCCAGAGTTAAGTGTTATAAAAAATCCCAATTATGTAAACGGACGTTGGTTGGTTCAAGAAGGCGTTGCCAATACGCTAAATTTTAAAGCTGTTGATCAAGATGCAGACGAGTTAAGTTACATCTTGGTAGAAGGTTCATCAGCTGTATCACTCACACAGAATGGATGGTTAATATACACGCCATCAGTGAACACGATAGTCAATTTGGCGTAAGTTGCTTATTTTTACATAAAGCTACATTAATTATTTAGGTATATTAATTAATTAATTATTTAGTTAATTATATAGGTATATATATCTACGTTTGTAAAAATTAAATAACTATAACTGTATCTGTTGCTGTCTAAATAATTATATTATATACTTCATTGATAAGTACCACTTATTTCTATGAGTTGCTATTATGTAGGCCTATTTACTTGCAAACGGATACAATTTAGCTCATCCTTTTCAAGTTTATTTAAATAATAATAGACTATAACATTACTTTTTAATTATATATAATATATATATATATATATATATATATATATATATATATATATATATATATATATATATATATATATATATATATATATATATATATATATATATAATTAAAAAGTAATGTTATATATATATATATATATATATATATATATATATATATATATATATATATATATATATATATATATATATATATATATATATATATATATATATATATATATATATATATGAAACAATATTATGCTTCTTGATGAATAAAAATTATTAATTTCTTAATCTAAACATTTTTTTTAAGTGTTGGCCTTAAAAAAGTTGTAAAGATTAATTCTAATTTATGTTCAGACTCAGAGTGAAAGACTCCAAAGATGGCTACTCACCTGTACTGAACATTCCAATAACAATTTGTCCAAGATGTAGTGGACATGGTCAGTGTAACAGAAATCTTACCAGAGAGACAGAATATTTTGGAGGACTTGTCAAAATTTTAAAGTGTAGCTGCTTACCCGCCTTTACTGGTAGGTTTTAACGTTAAAAACAATAATAAAATTATAACTATTTTCACTCTTCTATTAATTGATACTAATAAAACTTTTGCCCCATTTTATACATTTTTGCTATTATTGTTGATAGCTTTCGATATCGGACAATGTAAAACGGGAGCTAATTCATTTATTAATATATTTAAATGCTGAAATATTACTCAAATATTCGTATCGAATACATTTAATTCTTCAATTCTGATGGCGATAATTAGCATTTTTCAAAAAAATGCTGATTTCTAAACTACGTAGGAAAAATTCCGAATGTGTATGTGTTATGTTTTGCTGTTTTCGTGTTTTCCCTTTCAATATTTTACTATTTTAATTGATAGTTTTTGTTTTAATAAAGATAATGATTATACAGTAATACAATTAAATGTATTTGTAAAAATACTAAAAATGTTAATAAAAAATTTAGCTTTCTCAATCTTTTCTCTTGCATTGCATTTATCGACACCTAGACGATAAAAATTAATTTTTATAAAGTTTACTGGCATTTTAGGAATAAATTGCGAGTCGGAACTCGATGCCTGTCAACATGAGCCATGTTTCAAAGGCCAGACCTGCACTGACCTGACGGCAGCTGAACAAGGAAACAGTGAGATAGGATATGTATGTGGGCCTTGTCCAGCTGGGTATACAAACTACAGTGGCAGATGCATAGGTATACACAAACATTGTTAAAACAATAATTAAAGTATGCCTATTATAATTCTCGAAGACCTATTTTTTAAACTTAACTGATACTTACACTTAGAAAAAAATATATATAATTCAATCTACATTTTCTCAGATGTTGATGAATGCACTGAATCTAACCGGTGTGCTCATTACTGCAACAACACAGATGGTGGCTATGAATGTAGTTGTAGAGACGGTTTTGTTCTTAACAAAACAGATGAAAAAACATGTTTAGGTAATGGTCGTATTATTCATAGTACAACCCGTTTATTTTCTTTACTGTTAAATATAGGAGAATTACATTTCATTTCATGTTTATTGTCTGTATCCCCAGCCAAGAACTGCTCCAACAGATGTGTGACACAAAACACGTTGTACTGTGATGAGGGTGTGAGTCAGTGTGTATGTATGGATGGCATCAAGACACCTGACTGTTCTGTCAATGTTGACAAGTGTCTGTCCAAGCCTTGCCCAGCTAACCTGATGTGTGTCAGTACACAGACCAGTTATGAATGTCTTTGTCTAAATGGACAACACCCAATCAATGGTGTTTGTACAGGTGAGATACATATCTAAAAATTAAATATTGATTAAATGTTAAACCAGTTTTGTTATTTTTTTAGCTATAACTCTAAATAAAAAATAAAAAACTTTATTCATGATAAATGTTTGATCAACTAAAGTATTGTGGGTAGCTTGTAGAGGGTGTAGTAATACTACTGAAATTTTTATTTGAAATTTCTTATCACTTATTTAATAACCAGACTGCAACAGGCAATTAACTGAAGTCAGTGGTAAATTCATGAGCTCCAACTACCCAGACAATTACCCCAATAACCAGTTCTGCACATGGACCATCACAACCAACGATGCACTGGCTTTCATTGTGCTGAAGTTAGTATAAAAAGAGAAAAAAAAAACACATTAAAACAATTTTTTAATAAAAATTTCCCATTGCTCGTTTGCTTTTATTCAACACTCGGGTCATTTACATCATTCCATGCATTTTAGTCGAATGCCATTTTTTTACTTTTCTTTCCACCGGTTTTTAAATTTTTATCATGTATATACATATTAACTTTCATTAATTGATTAGCAGTAAATCTACATAAATATTTCTTTTACTAAAAGTATGTGTCGTGTTTTTTTAAAGAAACAAACTAATATATGTGTGGCCAGTGTTTTATTAGCACAAGTATAAATAAACCATGTTTCTAAATTTGATCCAAAGGCTTAAAATATGAACTATATATTTCAATTATGTTATCTTTTCTTAACTCTCAGCATCACAGAGTTTGTAGTAGAAGGCTGCCCGTATGACTACCTGGAGGTGTATGATGGTAGGGATACAAATGCTGACCTGATTGGACAATATTGTACTGATGCACCAGGACTGGTCACCTCTTCAGGAAATTCTTTGACCGTCACTTTTACATCTGATACCTCTAACAATTTTACTGGATTTATTGCTACTTATGTTATTGAAAGTAACACGTCTTATGCTTTTATATTGTTCTTAAAGTGACTATGTTATTAAAAGTATCATATCAATTTACATACTACGAAAGTAATTTTTGCTACCTGTTTTATTGATAGTGATATCGAATTAACTACAATTCGTGTAAATTGCGTTATTTTAAACTGTTACACGCAATCGCAGTTCTTTAAAAAAAATGATTCGTTATAAGTAAGGCGCGTAGAATCCAACTGAAATAAAACATATACGTAGATTAAAAAATATTCGTTTAATCTTATTTTGGGCCCCTTGTTATCAAAATTGCGTTTTAATTTTAAATGTTTCCATGAATTCTGTAGGAAAAATATATACTAATTAAGCAAACATCGTGTCGTCCATAAATGGCACCACTCTCTTATGGGGACGAAGTTCCGATATTTTGTGGCAATGTATGATGAGGTGGAGGGAAGTGAGGGTTGAGATATTGTAACGCCATACTTTTTCATTTTAAAAACTGAACTTTAGTAGTTATTTGGCGTTTCGACAAAAATGTTAATAAATTTTAATATATTTATTAAAATATTATTTGCTGACCGAGCTCAGTTAATATTATAGAAAAAAATCAATGTTGAAAGCAAATAAACTGCAATTTTAAAAATGGTTATATGCTGAGGCGTGACGTAATTTTAGGGGGGGGGGGGCTTTAACTCTGTATGAAGATGTGTGACGGAAAGGAGGGGGGGGGGGGTAAAAATCGTCAAAAAGTATGAAGTCCTTAATGTGCTTTTTTATTATTGAAAGTCGTTTCTAATTTTATATGTTCCTACGTTTTTGTATTACTGAGTTGCTGAATGTCATTTCTCATGTTATATGTTAAAAAGTTTATGTAGTTTTAAAAAAAATCATTTAAAAAAAATATATTTCACGCGTACTGAAATATTTTAAATTCGATTTGTCCTAATTATAATTTCTGATAGAATGACATTGCTCTAAAAAAGTTCTGTAAAATATACAACTTGCCTTTTCTTTTATCCTAGACAAATGCAATCTCCTACAGTGTTCACACAGTTGCCAGATAGTTTCAGTGAATCCACGAGTTGAAAAATGTGTTTGTCCTGAATGGATGAGGTTGGATACAGTTTCTAACACACAATGTGTTGAAATCAATGGTACTTTTTAAAAATCTTTCGATGAGATGTATGGGGATGTTGGATACAATTGCTGACACAATATGTGTTGAAATCTTTGCATGACATGTATATATTTTGGATGTTGGAATAACAAACAAAATATGAAGTATTGTATCATTTAAGCTATATGTTTGTAACAAACTATTTATATTTTGATATGTGTCTTACCCTCAGCCTGTAACACAACAGTAACCAGCAGCTCAGGTCTTATTGTCAGCCCAGGATATCCACAGAAATATGGTGCCAACACTACCTGTTACTGGACAATACCTGTGAATTCTTACTCCACATTGAGGTATAATACTAGAATATTTATAGAACACTATATAATTCAAATCAGTTACACTTTATAAACAAACTGTATTTTGTCTAGGTCCTTTAAATTTAATCATATTCAAAGTAAGGGAATAATAAAATAATACACCTATATTATTCAATTTTTATCTCTAAATCAATGAGTATACATTTAAATTCAAGATCAGCGATTTATAATATTTTGAAATATTCAAGTTGTAATTATTTGTCAAAGACATTTCACCAAATATATTGACATAGTTTCAGTTTCCTCGACATAGACATGGAAGGTGGCTCCACCTGCCCATATGATAGTGTAACATTTTATGAGGGCAACACTTCTAGTGCTCCATCCTTTGTTGTGTGTGGAGTTGCTCTACCAAAAGGTTTCACTTCTTTAGGAAAAGAAGTGGTCGTTGTCTTCAAAACGGATGGATCATTTGCTGGCAGAGGTTTTAAGTTGCAAGTCGGGTAACCATTAAGATGTGTAATTAAAAACAAATGTTACATTTTCAGATGTGATAGTAATTAACATGTATAAATTACATGGAGCTTATTGTAATTTCAATTTTAATATTCCAAAATGAGTTTATGAAGTACATTTATACTGCAAGAAATATTAAATTTTATTGAGAGATTTTGCCAATTTTTACAGTGTTAGCAGTTTTACCGTCTGGTAACGTTACCAAGATGCCGCTCTGATTTCCAAGAAAAAGCATGGAATCACTTTCATGGACACTGAAGTTCTTTGTTTTCAATAAGATACCAGAATGGCTTAAATGTATTTTTTACAAATATATGTTCTAACATAAAACACTCGTCAAAATATACAATCAGCCTTTAGGACTAAATACATATGTTTTAGATTTATCAGTACAATAAAAAATATATTAATGTTGCTTTTAATTAGACTCTTATATGTGTACAATAAAAGGTAACGGCCACTTTTACAATAACAAGCTTGTATATATGCACTGAAATCTAGAAATTAAGTAGAATGTTGCTAAATTTATAGAAATGTATCTCTATTTGAATTACCTTAAATGTAAGCGTCAGTTGCTAAATTATATCGCTTCTAAAAATGTAAAATAATTATTATCCAAGAGAACATTTTATTTGTTAGACATTGATATTATAAGTCTACCCTAATTCTCTCTTTTTATAAAGTAATAAAATACAAAAAATTGTTTTTGACTGTGTTATTTTATAATATTATCATCATCAGCATTTGGCTAAATGAGATTCCTCCAGAGTCCATTCTCCCTGCGAGTATTTACATGACAACTAATCTTTTTCAGTTTTTCGTTTGTTCTACTAATTTCGTGTCGTGTCGTGTCGTGCTGTGGCTTGGTTTACTTTCCTCTATCCTGGGTGATTCAGTTCAGGCTTCAATGCTATTCTGCATTCCGGGTGCTTGTCGCCGACTGAATGGGTCGTTGTCATTGGCTCAAGCTCTAGCCAATAAAGTCGTCTATATTTAGAGATAGTTAAAAATGTTACCAGAAAAAAATCACTGTAAAATAGTACAAACAGGACATTGGACTTGCATAGTTCTTTTCTTATATTTTGTGTGGAAATGATTTATCTCCAATTATTGCACTGAAAAATGCACCTTTTTTTCCAAGTTTCCAATTTGCAGGGACATTGTTATAACTGGGGTCAATGTATATCCTGCAGCTAAACTGTAGAGATGGTTTACACTACCATCATCTTCCTTAACCATTTCTCAATTCTTACTTATAATACGGCAACATCAGCACAGACAAATGACTTGACAGGATTATTGTTTCGTTTCATTGTTTATCGCACTAGTTACAGGACATTCACTATATGGCATACAAACACGACTACGGGAAGATCACTTCCTCATCACTGAAAACAAGAATCAGACTGCCCTAATCTTCTTTCCCAGTAACTATGAGACTACACTAACACGTCACTGCCTTGCTTATCGCGTCACCAATTCAAAATCTTTCATTTATGTCAAACCTTACACAACATACATTTTCTTCGACTCAAACAATACTCTGATACCTCTCATAAAAGACATGTTGTAGCTTCACGATCATATCTGCCCATGTTTGCAACAGGGTTGTGTTGGGATTCCCACACATTACATTTCCACCAATTCTAATTTCTCATAAACTCCAGTTGATTTAAAATAGAATATTTAGATTACTAATTCAAATCAATCCTAAGAAACAAATACAAAAATAGGTGTTGTTTAGTTTAAAAAAATATGATTATTCGGGCACTATTAAACACACATTTAAGGAATAATTTTATCATGTCATGTCATGTCATGTCATGTCATGTCATGTCATGTCATGTCATGTCATGTCATGTCATGTCATGTCATGTCATGTCATGTCATGTCATGTCATGTCATGTCATGTCACCTCGCGTCAAGTCACGTCATGTCACGTTACGCCACGACACACCACGCCACGCCACGCTACATCAAGCCACGCCACGCCGTACTCTGCTGTATTGCGTCGTGTCATGTTTTGTCGTGTCGTGCCGTGGCTTGGTTTGGTTTGACTAGACTTGAATATGCTGAGTTATGAATGCTAATTACTGGGACATGTAATTTGATTGTTTTGTTTACCTGCTGTATGCGAGGTTACTGTAACCCATATCAGTTTCGAAATTCTATTTATGGTCATCCTGACCAAATGTAACCGCATTTTTTAAGATTTTAAATTATGTTTCTTATAACCTAGTTAAACATGTTTTCGTTTAACTGATGTGAATTCCAAATGTTGTCAGGTTCAAACTGGTTAAGAAAATTAAAATGCCGAAAGCACATTAAAGATGTATGCAATATTTACTTAGGTTGTGGTCGACTGTGACAGCTCACCCTCGAATGACCAGCAATTGAGCGATCGCTAGTATTTAATCTTGTTATCCCCCTTTTCAATTGAATAAGGTAATTTTTAAAATCAAATTTGAAAGACTAATTTACTAGCTAATTAGAATCTAATGCATGGTACTTACAGACAAACGTTACTGGAAAGTTTGAGTGAAATCGATGCATTAGAACTGGATTAAAAATAGGTGACAAAATTCTCATAATCACACAAACAGACCTGCAAACTATATAAAACTATTAAAACAAGAAACAACGTGTAGGCATTCTACACAATGGCTGAAATGTGCTGAACGAATACAAAACGACTTGCATTTGGTACAACATTCATGAGTTATATAATTCTAGATGGTAAATAGGAAAGTGCAGAATAGGCTAAAATGTAACAACAACAAAGTAATGTATTGTTCAAATTACCCATATCCGATAAAAAAAAAATTAATACTTGGTGTATTTTCATTAATTAAAACTTAACACAGATCTAATTTCGTCATCGTATCGGTATACACACACTAAAGTGCGCGTGGTCTTTTTTTTTTGCTAACTTTGTCCAGTCGCCACTTAACAACCCGCGAACGGATTAGCCGTTGTCGGAAATGTAGAAAATTTGGTCATTGCGACTCAGGGACTTGAGATTCAACATTTCGGGAACAGGCCGGCCAGTTCGCGTTGTGGTAAGTATTTTAATAGTTTAGAGTCAGTTGCATGAAATCTTAAAATACCTAAATCTTGCCGATTTTTTAAGCTCCTAGTTTGAAATCAAATGTTTCTTGTTTCCAAAATATCAAATGTCACAGCATGGAGAACTGGCATTATCACAATATGTAATTAAATAACAGTAGTACGCAGTGTTGTAGGCAGGGGGGGTTAGGGGGCGTCATAACCCCCCCCCCCCCCCCATAGACCCTTCGGTATAGATATATAAAGTATGAGGGGGGGTGCAAATCGAAAGTTTGAGGGGGGGGGGTGCAAATCGAAAGTTTGTCCCCGGGTGAAAATTGGAACCCTCCCCCCCTCTTGGGACGATCCTGGCTACGCCGCTGGTAGTATGTGTATTTGACTTGAGCTTAAATTTATCATGTATCTGTATTTATATGTAAATTGCGTCACTCGAGATTAGGCTCAGTAGGTCGACATGTGTTGAGACGTGCGTAGGACTTAAAAATTGATGTTTCGTTGACTACGACATTCCGACATTTGACTTTATAATCTATAGAATTCTAATTAAGCGCTACACAGAGCAAACAGACGAGAATAAATGTAAGCAAAAGAAAATATGAAGATGTACAGTATTTTACTACAAGGATGTTAATTAAGTAAATGAATTTTAAAGAATTTTAATTAACGCGTGTTTAGTTTTTGCTGCTGCATACTAGGAGGCGACATTTCGTATAGATTTAAATTCTAAAGCCGTATCGAGAACAAGGAACTTAAATTATTTAAAACCCAGCACTTAGTTTGGTTAGTTAAAAAATAACGCCATCGTATGTATATAATGAGGTAAATGTCATACTTAAAACACATACTCGTGAAAAAATGTATCTATTCTGATACACATTGTAGGAAAAAAGGTATTTCCTTAAATATGTACAAATCATTACTACCATTTATTTTTTTAAGAAACTAGAAAGATAGCTTAATAATATGAATACCAAATAATGATTGAAGCAATAGATAAAACATGTTTTATATAACGGTATTGGTTTAATTAAATATATTTGGCGTTTTGACTACCCTTTATTGCATTTATTTCTTTCGTTTAGTTTCTTAATATGAAGTTATCCAACGTATCATTTACGCTTTATATGGTGATAGTTGCTTTTAAACTTGGAAAATCAGAAGTTCTTTTCACAGGTAAATTATAAAGCATGGTCAACCATTATTTTTATATTAAAAAATATTAAAGATAGCTATACGTAAGCTTGTGCTTTTTTATTATTCCTTATGTAAAACAGTTATTTTTAAATTTCTAATTCAGGTGTAAAATCTTTTAAGTTGTTTTTACAACAAAAAAAAAGATTCAACAATGTTTTAAACATCTAGATTGTGGCGGTACACGTGAAGGCCCCAGTGGAGTGATCGTGTCACCAGACTACCCCAGCAGTTACCCTAACAATGCCAGATGTAACTGGACCATCACAGCACAGCCCAACGAGATAATTGACCTCAGGTAAATTGGTGGAAAAATGATCTCAGACAAAATATCCCAGACAAAATACCTCACGGACAAATGATCTCATGACAAAAGATATCAGGTCAAATTATCTCAAAGATAAATTATCTCATGGACAAAATATCTCAAGTCTATAGAATGCCTAGGCAATGTATACAATCCCTAACGTTTTAAAGCAAAGTATGTTGTATCGCTGTTTTTATATACTTTTCTTACGCATTATAAAATGCAAATTGAATATGCAGAATGTTACATCCACAGTGCAATTCAGAATATCTTTTAAAAACTCTAGGAAATCTATGTTCTACAAGTATCCATTTTACCCAGTCATAACTGATATTAAAACCTTACACCTACTTTGATATTTGACCTCATTATCATATCATTGTAAATATGCCCTTCATTACGATGAGATCCTAAATCTAGGCGTTGTATTACATCAAGACTTTGCATTTCAACAAAGGCTACACAACCGGTTATATATATATAGTTTACATTGAGAATAGATAATAGATAAAAGACCTATTACGCAAGTTGTAAGATGAAATTCAACACAGTTCGACTTTTTGGCTTTAAATACATTAAAATAAATTTATTAATATTTGATTTTTTAAAAAGTAGTTACTTTCAGACATTATCATGAGTAGCTAGCTAATGATCTTGCACCTGTTTTAAATGAAAAAAAAATTAATTATTAAAATAAAATAAAATTAATGACTAATCACAATAATAGTTATGAATTAAATTACATTACATTAATTTTTTGTACACAGGGTATAAGGTGAAATGCTGTATTCTAACGAATAATAACTATTATCATTTTGATTATCTCGACGATTTATTTCACACTATGCCCCATCCTGCACAGCAAGCTCATCCCAACCCTTACACTTATGTGCAAATAAACTGAAAGTATTAAAGAGCTCACTCTAGCTTTGTTTTAAACAGGTTCAAAACTGTAGATTTTGATGGATATGTAGACGCATGCCCAGACTACGTTGATATTTACGATGGGGCCAGCACGACGTCAAATGTGATGAGGCAGCTATGCAGGTACTACACACCCACTGAGCTGGCTGAGCTTTCTGTTCGTTCGACATCTAATAAAGTTTTAATCACATTCACTTCCGACAACGTGAATCAAAGACCAGGATTCTTGGCCGAATATTGGACTCAGGGTAAACTAAATATTTGCTAACTTAAATAGTGTTCAAATTATGTTCTTGATAAAAATAGGCCTACTGCATAAAATAATAAGGTAAAAATACAGCAATTTAAAAATGCATAAACGCGTTTTTATTAAATAACTAGACTACCCGTCATCCGTTGGATAACTGTGGGTTTCGGGGGTCATCAATCAAAAAACATCACGTCTGTCACTCAGAGGCATAGCAACCCTTCCCGGCGCCCGGGGACAAACTTTTCGATTTGAACCCCCCCCCCCCCCCCGGCAGGATTTCGATTTGCAACCCCCCCAAACTTTTGATGTGCACCCCCCCCCCTCAAGATTTCGATTCGAACCCCCCCCCCCACTCAAACTTTCGATTTGCACCCCCTCAACCTTTCAATTTATTTTTCCAACCCATTTTGGCGCCCCCTAAGGTCGGCGCCCGGGGACATATGTCCCCCCCCCCCTCCTCGCTACGCTACTGCAGTGTCACTTATCGTCACAAAAAACAGACCCCACATTCAAAAATATGTTTTTATCTTTTAAAAACACCGAAAACACCGATTTCGGACTATCCCTTCATATACTGACGTCACAGGTGACCTACTCAACTCTACTTCACCTGCCCAGTGTCCCGTCAAGTCTCAGACAACATGTTTTTATCGTTTAAAAAACGATTCTAGCCGAGCATGTCTCTGACCACACTATCCTTTCATATGCTTAGGACAAAGAAACAGATGAACTCTACTTCACCTGCCCTGTATCCTGCCAAGTTCAGATAGGCAACTTTATCATTCACATCTAAAAAAAAGAATTGAAAAAAAAAATCATTGTTATATTAGGTCTAGAACCTGTGCCACCCGCATGAGAGCCGATTACACTACCAACTTTGCTATTTACTCGTGACGTCACAAGTGAATTTTTATACTATACTTTGAGTCTCCTTATGCAACTTGATTTACGCGCATAGATCTAGATCTAAGTCTAGTAGTAGTAACTTTCAAATTAAATTTTAGCTTTATTAGCCAAACAAAGATATTTATATAAAATAAAGAAGGTCTGAAATTATCTAGATCTAGATAGAATTATCTAGATCTAGATTCTACGACTCGTTTGCTTAAGTCTTAAGTTTAGTTTTTCTTGCTAGATCTAGATCTAGATCTAATCATTAGCTACTCTAATAGGCCCGGAGCGAGCATTTCAAAATTACCATGTTCCAAACAAAGATTTATATAAAATAATAAAGGTCTAAAATAGTTTAGTATATAGAAAATCATTATTATCTAAATCTAGATAGAAATTTCTCTATATTTTAGATCTACGACTGAGCTATAGATTCTATTTAGAATTTACGTTTATAATTTAGCAAAATTACCGGCATCGAAGTCGCGTATGAATCTTAAGCTACGCCAATAGGCCCGGGAGCGAGCATTTCAAAATTACCATATTCCAAACAAAGATTTATACAAAATAATAAAGATCTAAAATAGTTTAGTATATAGAAACTCATTATTATCTAAATCTAGATAGAATTATCTATATTCTAGATCTACGACTGGTTTGCTTAAGTCTCGTTTTTTTGGATTGTATTTATAACTAATAAATCTTTGATTTGACCTAGATTCTAGATCTAGATCTATAAATAACTTTCTTGGACAGATTGTAGATCTAGAGAAATTTATCGTAAAACTAAATGAAAAAGACAGTTGAAAATTGATATAAGTGTTGGAACGTAATAAATACAGCAAACGGACGTATTGTTAAAGTTATGACCGACAGAAAATTAGATTTAGAACGCGTTAAACTTTTGAATGGGAACACAATTTTCTTCGATAGACGCCGCCATTTTATTGTACTAAAGAGTAAACAAAAAACTGTGACGTCACGGTCCCGCTGAGTGTAGTGGTCGTTCTAATCTTTTTAAAAAAATAGGGTTAATCTACCTATGAATAAATCAATAAATTAATTAACGTCTTTAAATAAATGTGTGATTAACAGTCTGTCTTAAAACAAAATTTTTTCTCTACCTACATACTATTTTACAGCTGTCCACGATGAATAGAAGTATTCACAATACTCGATCAGCCAAACAAACAAACAAACAAACAAACAAACAAACAAACAAAAAAATAAATATTCAAACATGTAAACAAACTTGACTTTTAGTAGTATATAGATGCACTAAAAACAGACAAGTTTAAAGACAAGTTTAAAAACTTAACTTATATAAAAATGTATAAGGTATGCCTACTGATATTCCGCAGTATTATACAAATATTGTTTGCTGTTCACTTTTTTCTACAAAACTCTAGACATTTTAAAAAGTTTAAGAATGTAAAATTGAATGAAAAGCATATCCATAACCCGAGTTTCCAATACCCCCGTAGTGTTATATAAGAATATTCGAGAAAATTTCTGAGAGAACACTCCTAATTTATTTTTTGAGTACTTAAAATTATTATTTTAAATTCTAAAGAGTTTCATGACTAATAACTGTTGCTCACCAAATGAACATGAAAATGCGCGTATAATAGTGCGGCATTGTAGTAAGTCGCTCTAATTTATTTAGTAAATTATTCTTACATTTATAAAAATATTAATTAAAAATCAAATAAAGTACCATTTGATGTCAGATTGCATAGTCATCAGATGTTGACCCACGTGCGCAGTTTGAAACAATCGGTCAGTTAGGAGTGCTCGAAATTTGGTTCGGCAGTTTTGACCTATTATGAAATAAAGACAGAAATACAGACACACGCAGTAAAGGCTTAGACCAATATAGATTTTCCCATCTGTAAAATAGTTACACAGCTTTAAAATGTAAATTCAGATGTTTGGGTACAATTTAAAAAATGACATAGCGTAACCATAATTTTGCACTCTAAACTACCTATTAAAGTAATCATAAAAAATTTGACGTTGCTGTCAGTTACTGATGTGTCTTACTTCAAACAGAATGCCCTTCAATGAAATTTGGCACAGAAAGATGTACACAAAGTTGTAGCTGTGTAGTGGAGAACACTGCGTTTTGCGACAACTTTAACGGCTTGTGTACCTGTAAGAAAGGATGGACGTCGCCCACATGTGAAACTGACATTGACGAGTGTGCTGATCCCCTCATTGAAGCTTGTCCACGAAATTATCAAGTGTGCCAGAACATAGCTGGAAGTTTTGATTGTGAATGTCAAGTAGGGCTTGTGAAAAATGTAATAACAGGAGATTGCGAAGGTAATACTAAAAAGTGTTATAATACTTGGACTTACTATTTTGGAATAGCGATGTCAACGCAACAGAAAACAAACATACATCTATAATTTACTAATTCATCAAATTTGTTTTTATTAAAGATTTTAGTGCATTACATACCAATGTTTTACAACATTCTGACGATTGGTCTGCGTAGTATTGTGTGCATTGGTTATCATGTTTTTATTTTCGATGTTTCAATATATTTTTAAATTATGTTTATGTTTACCACGTGTTCCAAGTTTCGTTTTCAATTTTAGACGTAATTATTATTGGCCTACGGTATAACAATAAATTTTCTTATCATCAACAAATGTTCTCTTTTCTCCAAGTCACAAAGGGCCGCAACAAAGATTTTTTACATGTTTTGCAGATATCTTGCTATTTGTATGCAAGTTCACAAGATAGTCATTCTCTTGTTAGTTTTTGTTTGTTTGTTATACTACTCCACGACTCCCTTAGACTTCACTGGGTTTTTTCCCATAAGTTAAGAGCTATTCCTGAAATATCATGCACAAACGTTTTCAAAACATGCCCCATCCAGCGTCATAATCTTTTTTAAAAAATCATTTTTAAACGACTACCATTTGTGTTTCCACTAGTAAACCCATTATTGTACTAACCAAATGTAACCACAAGTTTGTTTATTGTCTTGATTTCAATGCATTTCAAAGCTTATTTGTTTAAAGATTTTATATTTGTTTTTTTATTGTTTAGCTAGTACTAACAGACCATGCACAAAACCTTGTCAAGGACTTTGTCGGTGGGTAACTCCTCCAGGCCAGGTCACTCAAACGGAGCAGTGTATCTGCCCATACAACACAAAAATAGTTGGAAATAAATGTGTGGGTGAGTGTATTAACTATCAAATATAATATTTAAAACAATATTAAGAATGATATTTATGTAAATTTAAATTATTTTTCCTTTTAGTTTCTAGATTTTAAAGGAATTTATCAATACGTTTTAATGCATATTCTAAACAAGCAATTGGAAAATTGATGCATACAATTTAATAATTAGTAATGTTTACAAACAAGAATAATGTATTCTGAAATAATGTTCTAATTTCTAAGAAAACTACTTCTATTATTACTGTGTAAATTAGCAAACAATATTAAATAAAATCCATTTTTCTTTTTTAGCTTGCACTGGTCTAACTTATGGAAGAAACTGTGAAAGGAGTTGCAGCACTTGTGACAAGACTAACACCCAACGTTGTGACAATGTCACTGGTCAGTGTATCTGTTTACCTGGCTGGTCAGGTGACACTTGCTCTAAGGACATCGATGAGTGTGCACTTAGTGAAGAGCTGAGAGTTTGTGAGAACGCAAAGGGAAAACATGAGTGTGTAAACACCATCGGAAGTTATATGTGTATAGATGGTAATTTTCTTAATTTATCATTCATTAAATAATTAGTTGAACTATTAGTTAAAACCTCACATTTGCCAATTTTAGTTTAGAAAGGATTGAAAGCAAGAAATGGTAATTGTAATTGTATTTTTTAAATTGCATTTAATTCACATATTTGTAGTACTGCTGATTTAATTGTATATTCATATGATACCGATTTGCAATTTACATTAACCGTTCTTAAAGCAAAACCTAGACATGTATATACAAAATATGCATATATATATATATATATATATATATATATATACACGTATGTGTTGTTTTTCTGTAAACAAATCATAACAAAAATAATTATTGCATTCTTCAATCCATTCACTAACTGATATTTCTCTAATAGCTATATGAGATGGTCATTCTTTTCATATTCATATATGTTTGTTTTTTTAATCATAGACTGCAACTATAAACTGAATGCAAATTCGGGAATTTTAGAAACACACAAATACCCAAACTTTTTTACTTTTTACATCCATTGTTCATGGACAATTACTGTGGCACGAGATAAATCAATCAAATTAAGGTATTGTTTTTTATAAGGTTTTATGATATCATTGACATAAAAATCTATCAGTTTGCCTGGATTAGGAAAACAAGCTTTTAAAAATTATCAAAGCAATTACTGAACTGTACATTATGATTTACGTTTTAGTCGTACACTTACTTAAACATATTTTTATTAATATAAAAAAGATATAAAATAAATGGATTTAAACTACGAGTTTTAGCAACATCTGTATTTGCTTATATATTATATTGCTTCCGTGTGTATTGACAGAGCATGAATTTTATCTTTCTCACTTCTAAAAATATTCTTTAAAAATTCTGACTATGTAAAACCATAGTCATTGTGTTAGTTCAAATTTAACTAAAGTACAATTTTAGAAATGATAATTATCTTGTTTATCTTACATATTTAAAAAAAAATATAACTATGTTATTACTCAATTTATCTACAGTTTAACAGTTAATACTATGAACACTGCTCTGCACATTTTTGATGGTCCACATGCAGACGGATTTTTATTGGGTCGACATGAAGGTTATAATCAAAGTCAAACATTTACAATCATATCCACTTGTAATACGTTGCATTTAAAAATTAATTCTAGTTACAGTTACAACGGACTTGGAAAGTTAAATGGATCGTACATAACTAACGGTATGGTTTTATTCACACTAATGTCAAATTGTAGAGATAAGTATATTTTCGCTTCAATAAAAAGCTACATTATCCAATTGAATAGGATTATTTAATTTTTGTTATTTATTAGTTATTTGTATTATTTTTAGCAATACAAACTGATTAAAAATCCTAGCTAAATACTAGCCAGTTATACATGTATTGCAAACGAATAACATTTGACTAAGCTGTTATTTAATAGCATGAAACGACTCAGGTAACATTATTATTATTATGGTTATTATGTTCCTACACATCGTATTGTACTTGATGATTCCTTACACTTATATTCTTATGTGTAGTTTATGTAAATAGATTATGTCAGCAACTGTAAACACAAAATTCATGCAACCGATGAAAAACAGATACTTATCAGTCCTGGCTATCCAAAATATGCCAATAAAATAGTCTGTTATTGGGCAATAGATGCACCGGCTGGGTACATTATTTCTTTGAGGTAAGTCTAATTTTTAAAAAAAAGTTATTTTTAATTTTGTAATTTTGACCCAGGGAATACTGGTAGCAACACTGTTCTTTGTCATCTCTATAACGTTTTTATTAGCCTACTATAATTTAACGTAATTATCACGTTCGTTTATTTATGCGCATGCACAAAAAACATTAATGCTTTAATATGAATAATCATACTCATTTGGATAATTAATTACAAAGTAAATATCTCATATCTCCCTATCATTCTTTGCATCATCAGTGACATAAGCAAGAAAGTAAGCTATTCTTAATATTTAAGGATACCAAACACTATGATTTCGTCAACATTTGTGGTTTAAAAACAAAGAATAGATTGGCTTGAAAAAAAATGGAATGTCGGTAAAAGTAAATTTAACTTGACGAACGATGGTATTTAAAAATCATTGCTTACCATGCTTTGAGTTATTTACGTAATACCGTTAGTAAGCCAATGCTTATTTTTCAAGGCGTCATCAACTAGACGAACTGTTTACTAAATCTTGAACTGGTGTAATTTGTTAATTTTAACAAAAAACTTTTTTTCAATTTTATAGAGCTTTATATTCGCTGTAAGCGAGCTTGTATGTGGAAATTAAAAAAAAACAAATGATTATGCTTCCCATTTCCGTGTATCGTCTTTATTTGTTGTGTGTGCGATATTTCTTTGGTTGTCATCAGTTACATAATACTTATTAGTACTTCGAGATCAGTGCAGCTTAAAAAAGTCTGCCACGGGAAAAGTAATATATAATAACGAGCTGCAACCGTGATTCGGTCACTTGATAAAGTAGAATATTAACTTTGTTTTCGTCATAAGGCCGCGGGCAAGTGACCTTTGTCATTTGTCGCATTCAGGCAGGAATTTCATTAAGGCGAATAGTATTATGCACGATTTTTAAATCTGAATTCAAAATGGATAAAAACAATTTATTTACCGGAGAATAAATATTAAAAATTAAAAATGCATGTTTAAGTTATAAAGGAGAGAAGACAGTAAACGCTCACAAATAGTTCACCGTGTAGTCGGCCCTACTTTGCGTACTTTTGGAAGATGAAAGTGAATCTAGAACTCAAAAAGCGACATACAATTTTTAAGGACAAAAGTGAAGTTGCATAAAAAAAATACTAATTAAAACATACACACAGTTTTAGCATTGTATTATTGAACAATTACATTTTGTACTCTGACAGCAACAAGGCTTGAGATTCTTATTTAAAATTTATATTGCATTCTTAATTAATATGTGTTCAATTTCAATTTTTCTTAATAATTATGTGCTATGATGTTGAAAATGATTTTCGTTTTGTTTGATTGCAGATTTAGTAACATCTCATTGAACCATCACGGTAAATCAGATTTGAAAGTGTATAATCCAGAAGAAGTTATTTTCGGAGTATACGTCCAATTTTCTTACGGGATAACCTCGCCATATGAAATAACTTCAAGAGAAAATGTTTTAAACATTCTATTACAGTCAAATGGGTTTGATGATGACAAAGGATTCAATGCTACAATTATGAGTATGTAGATATTTATACAAATTCGTTTATATTTATACAAGGCATGATGCCTAGCTTTGCTTAGGTTTATAACAAGCTATGCCTAATATCTTACTCTTTACACGACCCTTTAAGGGTGCTGTATCACCCAAAGGGAGAGAAACCAAATACATCACACAAGAAAAAACTATTAGGCATACACATGAGACATTTTTACATTGGTAGTAATGATTCTACAATCATAATACGAGATATAATTTGTTGAATTTAAGTATAGCAGAAGTACATACTTTACAAAAGCTTTATAGATAATTGCATAAGACATCTAACATTTCCAGAATGTTATGCAAAACGGAAATTTTACAACCCGAATTAAAGCAAGGGAAAGGAAAAAAGAGAAATGGTTAAAAATGGATGACGTGGGACTATATGGACGAAGTCGATCAGATGGGGGGGGGGGGGGTTGGTTCAATAATTTAAGCAAAGACTGGTTTTGAACATTTTTACATAAACGAGGGTGAAAATGCATATCATGGTATAAAGTAAAGATAGGCTAGTTGAAAATATAACGTTCAGATGGTGTGCATCCTCCGTACATATGAAACATAGTTAATTAAATAGAATCGCTCACATTTTGAACAATTATAAATACATTACTAAAAAAATTATTAAACGTTTTGAAAATAACAGGATGTCGACCATTTTATTATGGAGAAGATAGATGTACAACACCATGCAACTGTGTCCAGAAGAACACATATTATTGTGACAGTTTTAACGGGGCGTGTCATTGCTACGGTGGTTGGACGTCAGATAGATGCGATTTCGATGTCGATGAATGTCTTTATAAACCTTGCTATGTCACGGAGAGATGTGAAAATACAATGGGAAGTTGCAACTGTATACCAGGTTTGTAATTTTATTTCACAATTTACATTTGAAATAAGAATATCTTATCTAGGATGCAAACGAAACTTTTTTAGATTAAAGCAATATTAAAAATACTACGTAGTATAATGCATTTTGTAACAACAAGAAAAACCACCGATTGCTAAACATTTAACATTTGCGTGATATTTGCATGCAGATTGTGATTCAAGCTACACTGGAGAGTCTGGAATTGTTCAAACAGAAGGTTACCCAAACTATCACCTGAGAAGAGCTGAATGTAAATTTAGAATACAAGGGAAGCCAGGTCATGTTGTTACACTGCAGTAAGAATACCGTTTTTATTTTTATTTTTTGTCATATTTTTAAAATTTAGTAGCACATTGTAACGACTGGATAATATTGTGAAGGTAATATTCATTGGACGATACTGTGTTGCCTATATTTTGACACATCTTTTACCTATAAAAATAATATGAGGTTAGGATTAAGGCTTAAACTGCGCTAAAACAATCATTTTTTATCTAATACGCAGTTTCCTGATTACGTAAGTTTTATTTGTTTGTTTTTCATCATAATTGTATAGTATCAAAAGCGGGGAGTTCCAGTTGATTGAAGATAGCACGTGTAGCTATGACTCATTAAACATCTTTAGTATTGAGAATACAACAAGAACACAAATAGGCAGATACTGTGGTACCAGAATACCACCTTTGATAAGGACCAGTGGTAACATAATGGAGATTCAGCTCGAAACAGCTTCAGATTCTGAGTTGAGCAGAAAAGGATTTCATGGTGTTTACAGTATTCACCGTAAGTTAAAACCACACAATTTTTCCATGCATGCATATTGTAAAATTCAGACGAAACAATTGCAATACATATATTATTGCATTGAATAATACTTACTTTAGAAATGTATTACAAGCAACGTTCGATAGGTTTTTCTGTGACATCATAAATTTATCTTATAACGAGAAAAGAGACGGGACAGTTATCACATTTTTATTTTAAGTTGCATTCGTCAGAGGACTTAATTTTTTTCTCTTATATTGAATTAATGAATTAATTGTGCAAAGCTTTAAAATTGTTATAAATCACGAAGTTTTACACCGTCCTGAGTGGGCAAAACTTAAAATCATATCTGTGTGAATAGGTGTATTTCTATTATTCTGTCCGTCCGTCTTCATGTATGTGTGCCTGTATGTATGTGTGTCAGTAAGTATGTATGTACTTGTATACGTGCTTGTGTGTCTAGGTATCTGTTTATGTGTGTCTCTATCTGTCTGTCATTCTGTAATTCTGTCTAGAGGCGTAGCCGGGGTATTGCTGGTTGAAAAAAAAGTAATATTGTAATGCCCATTATGTGCTGCATTATTGAATTATACACAAAGTTATGAAAAAGGACAAGCGCCCCCCCCCCCCCCCCAACATTTCCAAAAACGCTGTCCACTAACATGAATAACTGTATAAAAACCAAATTTATAGCTTCACCGGGCGCTGGAATGGGTCGACTCTGTGTGTCTCTGTGTGATTGCGTGTCTGCCTGTAAGTCTGTGAGCAGTAGCGTATGCAGGGGGGAAGCAGGGGGAGCCTGCTCCCCCTCTGGCCATTTTCAGCAAAGTGGCGCCTTTTTTGGAAACTTTTTAAACTCAAAGTTTTAAACAATGATATTTGTTAAATAATATTTTTGGTCGGCACATCTATGTAAATCACAAGATTTCTTTTCATGCAGCAATTAAGCATTATTGTACTAGTCTAGTAGTGTCTATGTTTTACAACACGTATTAACAGCTGCATCAGTTTGCTGTTCTAAAAATAAATAACCATTACGATGCATTGCAATGTTTAAAAAACCTATACGGTAGTACCACTTGGCAAGAGGGGTGTTAAGTTTAAGGCAACTGTATAATGTATTTTCTTACGAATAATTGAATTAGAAAATGTTATACATAAAACTTCACACATAATTACTTTATATATACATTTTGAATCGTGTGATTAACTTTTTTAAAATTACAATACAGAAACAAATACAACTGATGTGGCACCTCTATTTAAATTTACTTATGAACAAACTGCGTAGTGGTGGGGAAATTTTGAGGTCAGCAACGTCATCACGATGAAGTAGTAGTATTCTTACAGTTTGGGCGATAGTTATACGATTACAAATTATATGAAACAGTTACAACCCCCCTCCCCCATGGACCCCTCCTTAAAAAAATATTTTCATAATGCTACTGCTACTTATTTAAATCTATTTCTGTAATATATATTTGTGTAATATATATTTGTGTAATATATATGTATACTTAGAACAGTCATCTAAAAACTGTCGCAATGTTCACCCTGAGTTGGTTATTCCCCCCCCCCCCCCACACACACACGCCTCACCACCACAACTGTGTAGAGCGACATTAATGTCACACCTAGGTATACACTGGGTTGGATAATTAACCTAAATTTAACGGACAGTAGTGAATGAAGTTGAACCCACCCACCCCCCAACCCACCCCGAACTGATCTGTTAAGTACATGTAGAAAAACGCGTAATGATGTACCAAAGTACCATGCCGCAAAAAACATAGCTTTTTAAACGTAAAACTCTGTGAATATTGTTTTTGCAATTACCAGTAAAAAGGTGTGTGATCAATACAGTGTTCTATCCCATACCTATTACTATGTCAAAAAATGATCTCTGAAGAACACAAAGAAGCAGAAGTATATATGAACTGAACTAAAAGACCGATATTTAGTTAAATGTAGGCGGTTATTCCGAATGTTCTTCCATTACATCGAAAAGCGTGGTTTTATACCAACTCTGATTTTAAAAATTTTCATTATGCTGTAATACTTTAGCTTTTATGATGACGATATATTAAATTCTGATTATAGACAAAAACATTTTGTATACACGAATAGTGCTAAACAATTTCATTATATTCTAAAATAATTATTTATTTGTTTTAACATTTATAATTAAATGTGTAGATATATACATATTTATATTGGAGGGTGATTATTTCCCCTGTTTCACTTGTCTTAAATAGTTTCCCATGAATTATTATGTAAGAATTTTTTTTACAAGAATTACAAAACAGATTGTGTTACGTTCATTGTTTTTGGTTGTAGTGTGTGTGTATATATATATATTTTGTTTAGATTGATACAATTTTTGTTTTGTTGGCCTAAATTGTGGGTTTTTTCTTACTTCTTCAGAGTGCTACTTTCAATTTATTTTACATCATACTGAAGTAATGAAATACAGCTAGTAATTATATATATATATATATATATATATATATATATATATATATATATATATATATATATATATATATTTATTTATATATATATATAATACACGTATATAGAACGTGTTAACAAATCGGCGCTTTTTTGCTCTTTTCGCTCCCCCTACAACGAAAACCTGGATACGCCTCTGTCTGTGAGTCTATGTGTATTTGTACCTATCTCGCTTTATGTGGGTTTGTTGAAAATCATGTAACTCACTTTTATCCTCTTCTAATACAGCTTTTATCTTTGTATACTTTCTTTTATGAAAACAAAAACCTCCAAAAAATAGTTTCGTCTTTTAGATATCGCAAGCTAATGATATCGGGTTTAAAGCTAACATATGTAGTAGTATATGGTGTCCAATTTATTAAGAATGGAATTCTATTAAAAAGTAGAAATCAATTTTTTAAAAGTTTTAATAATACTTTTTAAATGCGCCAAAAAGATATTGCTGTCTCGAATGGAAGTTCTGAATGCTAATTAAATACCGTATAAAGTAGGCTTATTTATTTCTATTTTTGTTGTAAGTTTTGCTATTTAACAGTTTTGCCAAACAAATCTTATAACAATCAATTGTATGAAACTAAGGAAAAAGCCGAGAGAGATACATTTTAAAAGTTTGCTTCGCTACATCTAAATATCAGACCAAAAAGGAAAACCACAGACAGAATAGGTGGATATATTTACCCCGCTCTTACCTGCGCATAAATTAGGTTTATTTGGTAAATAACGTTAATATACTTGCCCTCCAGTAAGTTACAAAGCCTCCTCTCTCTCCACCCTCACTTACCCTATCCACCACCCCCAGGTATTTTATCTGAAAGCTTCAAGCACTTTTTCACCAACACAATCTTATGGATTATTTATTTATTTAAAATGTTATTAATTTTGTTTCTCTATACTTAAACATTTTGTTATGCAGCATGTAACACCTTTATGTACGGACCAACCTGTAATTACAAATGTGCATGTGTCAAGTCTAAAACACGATTCTGCGACAACACCAATGGCGTTTGTGTGTGCAAGCCTGGGTGGACAGGTGACACCTGCTCTGAAGATGTTAATGAGTGCAACTACATCACCTGTCCAACTAATGAAGTTTGTAAGAACACATCAGGGAATTATTCATGTGAATGTAGACTTGGATTTAGTAGGATAGCAACCGTTCAATGTCAAGGTTTGTCAGATTTTCTTTTATAACTTTAAAATAAATTATTATTTTTACTACATACATAAGTTACATTTTGGTATAGTAAATTTAATACTGAAATATAATAGCAGTTGGTACATAGTATGTTGATACAGTTAGGTTAAAATTATTATAAAATACATTAATTCGTTTGGTTTTTTCGTAATGACACTTTTCAGCACGTATGAACAGTATCCATCCCTAAATTGACTAAATGAGAAAAAAGTTAGCAAACGGATTGTAAACATTAGCCTTAATTTTCATTGAAAACAAAACAACTAATGCTCACATTTCAAACCTTAATTACCTCATTGTAGCGTTGCCTTACAAGAGCTGTACTTAAATAAAGTGAAGTACTTCTTCATATTCCCGCGGGGTATACGACAAATTCCCGAAAGACACTTGCCCGAATGCCGTTTGCCCGAAGGCCGTTTGCCCGAAGGCCGTTTGCCCGAAAAATGTTAACATTATATGTTACCAAATAATCATTCGTTATCAATTTAAATTTTAAATGTTGATAAACAAAACATATCTACGCAAAAGTAAAGGGAGGGGGGGGGGGGATAATATTATATATTACCATGCAGACATTCCTAATTAATTGGTATTTGCTATATAAAAAAGTGTAGAAACATACTTTCTCTTCCATCTATGAAATAAGACAAAAATAACATTTTAATTTATCTCTCGATTTTAAAATGAATTTTGCTTTCCTTATTAAGTCTAACACATTGTCTTAAGAAGATGCATTAAATGGAGATCAAACATATTTGACTACCTATAGTTTTTAAATTCGCCGCCTAGACTGCGCCTTGTTCTATTGTTAAATGATCACCACACCAGTCAAGCATGACACGATAAACAAACAAACGCGCCTCTGTTCAACGTAGCGAGACGCCGCGCAGCCTACATCGTGTCATAATAGCTATATCACTACCGCAACAGTCGGCTAAACCAGGTGTTCGAGCTTACATCAAAAGAATGTATAGACACCGCCGCCAACATCATCTTACAATCATTAACGAATAAAGATGTTTTTACAGCAATTTCTCAGTTATAAATATAAATATAAACAACTTTGTTTGTATGCTTTGAATTGTGTTTATTATAAAAAAATTTCTAACTAAAATTAATTAATAATGTGTATTTGGTGATATTATTTTCTATCTAATATTAAAATTTTTCGGGCAAACCGCCTTCGGACATGTTGCTTTCGGGCATTTGTCGCATTCGGGCAAGTGTCCATTCGGGCATTTGTCGCATTCGGGAAAGTGTCCATTCGGGCATTTGTCGCATTTGGGCAAGTATTTATTCGGGCGTTTGTCGCATTCGGGCAAGTGTCCATTCGGGCATTTGTCGCATTTGGACAAGTGTTTAATCGGGCGTTTGTCGCATTCGGGCAAGTGTCCATTCGGGCATTTGTCGCATTTGGGCAAGTGTCTATTCGGGCGTTTGTCGCATTCGGGCAAGTGTCCATTCGGGCAAGTGTCCATTCGGGAAATTGGCCTTCGGGCAAACGGCAATCGGGCAAGTGTCTTTCGGGAAAACGTCCGGCTCCCGTTCCCGCGCGTCCCCAAGATAGATGAATAGCTTTTTGTCGTTTGATTTCATCTGTTTCAATGACCACGGCATATGGAATGATAAAATCTCAACATTATGTCCATTCGTGAGTCTGGTACGCATTAAAGCTGGGTGGACTCAGGGACGTCCTAAAGCCAATAATTCAAACCGAATTCCGAACTCGAGAACTCAAGGTTGGCATACAATTTAATAACATTATAACCAGAATAACGTATTTGTTTAAATGTATATTGCTAGGAATACCAGGCGATTCTTGTATAACAGTAGAGTGTAAACGTTGCTCCCACTTCTGTTATCGAGACACTTTTGGAGTTTTAAAATGTGCCTGCCCTGAAAACATGGAAATTGGAGCAATAGAAAACATGTGTACTGGTAAGTATTTTGCAACCTTTTTGTACACGTTCATCGGTATTTTAGGAAACGAGTACTTGAATGATATTTTGTCAGATACAATACTAAAATTAAATCGTTTTATTTTTTTCAGTGCCTATGTATCCCTATGGTGCTGATAAAGGTGACACTGTCCTTAGTAAAAGTGTTAGTGAACCCATTGTGTTTGCAACTAAAGTTCCAGTGGGTAACAGCACTGAACAGGAGGCTTTTGTAAGAAAGTATTTTACTCTTATGTGCGAACTACTTCGATATCTACTTCTTCATCATCATCATCTTTTCCCGTCCGTGCCCAAGATATACGGGGTAGATGAAGCAGAATTCATGTGTGATATCTACTTACTAGTTAGATATAGAACGCCCTGTTTGGGTGGTACTGAAAACGGATTGGGTCCTTAGTACGTCACATAACTCAAAGTAAAGTAATGTTGGCCAGGAATACAAATTATCACAGCATCCCTTTATATGTTAGGCTTATTCATTGCCAAATAGTCCATTTTTAAATGAACTAAAGGAAATAATTAAGGTCAATTTCAGGTTTTTCGAGATGGAGTTATCAGTTTTGGAGGCCATTTCATTAGTGGTAACTATGAAGCTGCAATACAGCAAGGCTTCAAGATAATTGCCCCATATTGGACAAACGTTGACGAAGTGAAAGGTCAAGTTTTCTACCATCTGTATGAGAGCTGTGAACCATCAGTTTTCTATGAAAGTGCCACAGTGACGTCATCGCCTGCCAAAGCTAAAGTAATGGAAAGGGCAGCTCAAGATTTAAAAAAGTATTATAAGTTTCGTGATTTTGATGTTAAAGCGGCTCTTGTTGCAACCTGGGAAAACATACAAATATTAACGGTTAATGTACGTAGCTCTAAAATTATTATATTTTCTAATTTACCTACTAATAATTTATAATAAAAAAGTAAAGTAAAGTTTCCCTTTCAAACCTGACGGTCTATGGGGCAAGTGAAGTAGAGTTCACTTGTTTCTCTGACCTCGACATATGAAGAAATAGTGTGGCCAGCACTATGCCCAGCCGCATTTACTTTCTCTAACGTGTGTTAGGTACCCATCAGAGCTGGTTGGACTCCGGGACGGTCTACTGACTTGAACTCTGATTCGAACTAGACACTTACGGGTTAGCAGTCCAGCTCTCTACCGCTAGACCACTCCGTCCCATAATAATTTATAATAACTTAATTGAAATGTTTCAAATGGAATATTTAAAACATACAAATAAAAAATTGATTCTTTAGTAAACAAATATATTGATTTTAAAATCATTCAAACAAAATTTTCATTGCACATAAAAAAGCATTTAAAAGTAATATTGAATATTAATAAAAACGATAGAATTGTGTAGACAACTTTTAATTGTACCTTTAAAACTTCGTAGACGAAGACGCGCAAAGCTACGGGCAGTTTTCAAGTAATATACATTACTGGTTACCAACATACATCAACTGAAAATAAAGTCTTATCAGGTAAGACACTTTTGGTTTTTAATTTTGAAAATCTCATACTAACTAGAAGTTTTGCAGTTGAGAATGAGCAAGTGATTATCTTACAAATGATTACTATTTTCTGTTTCAGCTGAAGAAAACGCCTATGTTTTTTTCCTTTACCCAAAAGGCAAAATGAGCCTTAAAGCTGCGAGTACAATTGGTATTTCAGCCTCCCCTTATTCACAAAAATTACAAATCAACCAGACTACATTTGACTGGGTTAAAAATAAAAGTAGGTTCTTTTAAATATACGATTAAAAAATGGTATTTTATGCAAAACATATATGTTATTGTAATTTTTGTTGAAATAAAATAACCTTTTTTGCCTAATTCAATTGCATTGTAATGTTACTACAATATGATATTCTATATTTTCCTTAACTGTCACAAAAGTTTATATTCGTCCAGATTACCAGGAGGTGTTTACTTATGAAATAGGAAGAATAACAGGACCTGAACAAAAATGTGAAAAACATGTGTGTAAGAACTCACAGCTTATTACAAACGCAGACTACAGAAACCAGATTAATCAACTCTACAAATGTCCATGTAATCTTGACTTACTAGGGTTACAGTGGAGTTTGTATGAGAAGCGTGGACCTAGGAACGACATTTACTGCTTTGTAATAAGCAGAGTGGCTAAACGAATTATTCTGCTGAGTAATCCTAGAAATAAGGTAAATGACTATAAACATAATTTAATTTTAAAAATATATAGGTGGATAAGCAGTGTTTCTTCCAGACATTTTTCTCCGGGGGTGCACTTGAAATTTTCTGGGGGGGGGGGGGGGGCGGACAACAATTTCCGGGGGGGGGGCGGACACTGTAAAAAGTATATATTTTCTATATGAATTCCATATTGTTCGGGGGGGGGGGGCTGAAAGAAACTCTGGGATAAAGCTTTATGAAATTAATTATTACATAATTTATAAATCGGGCAGGTAATTTTTTTTTCTCGTACAATTTATTTTTTACATGTTTCTACAATCTATAGATGTGCTGCTACAGATGGGTTCAACCAGGAATAAACAGTAATTGGATGAAGTGGGCTGAATCAAGACAACATGCCTCATTCATTCACAACACACCTGATGCTGGTCATGTTCTTGTAGGTGATCCTTGGTGGTCACTTGCTGCTAATGAAAGTCTTGAGGCTCAGAGGTCTTGTTGTAAGGATGGGAACGTGGGTAAACTCTGTGACAGGTATAATCTCTTGTACCCAGACCAAGAATGCTCCTATGATGTCACATTTGGACCAGGTATGTTATATCTTTTAAATGGTGTGGTTCTCCAAAAAGAAAAACAATAAAATTATCGATAAAAAGAATTTATTCTTTAATATCTAAACAATTCTTAATTTAAAACCAAAAACTAATAATTTGCTACAATTAAAATCTAACACAATTTGAAACGACACCAACCGTAGTCATATTATTTTGAATCTTTAATCATTACCTATTAAAATTACACTAGGTTTCATATATATATATATATATATATATATATATATATATATATATATATATATATATATATATATATATATACATATATATATATATATATATATATATAATGAATAATGTGCTTAGATTTTAACCCTTTCGACATGTCTTTTTTTGTCCAATAGCCTTACTGCTCGGAGACCCTACCATTGTGACATTGGATAATGTGACTTACTTGTTTAATGGGAGAGGGGAATACACTATGATAGATATACAAACTGAAGACTTTATATTACAGGTATTTTAGACTCCTTTCTAGTAATTGAACTATGGTTCGTTTCATGTCGATTTATACATTATTTCAGTCAAGTTTAAAAATCGATTTATTAAGTCGAATGTATGCTGAAAATAGTTGTATCATTAATAGAATATAATTAAATTAATGATATGACTTTATTTTAGATTTTATATACTATCATGAACACTTGATTTCAGGCCCGAACAGACAGAGCAGAAACAAGTAATGGATCTTTAACAGATGCGACTGTCTTCTCAGCATTTGCTGCAAGTGAGAAGGGAGTGTCTCGTTTCCAAGTGGAACTTGCAGCCAGTAAATTATGTATGGTTATGTAAAAGCTTTAAAGCCCCAAAATATATTTTATTGATTTATTCATGCTTTACTCAAAGTCTGAAATCATAAATGACGTTTACACTTTTTATCTTTATAAATACCGACACAAATATAATTTAAACTGTTAAGCGATAATTATATTTTTAAAAATTTCTTTTAAAAATAATATTTTAGCCATGATTCTGTACGTTGGTGGACAAAACATCACACAACACTTTTATACATCACCTGACTACAGGCTGTCTATGGAAACAATTGAAGTTTTCAGGGACGATAGAGGCAACAAAACTAACGTTGCTGTTGTATTTCCATGTGGTAGGATGCTGTCTTAGTTATATCAGAATAATCAACATTATATTATATAAATTTTATCAATATTTCATGTATTATTATATAAGCGCACATACACTTAATTTTTTAAAATGTCGTTTGCAAAATTCATAATCATCTCACATTAATGTAAATTACTAACTTAAAATTACATTTACATATGTAAACAAAATCTAGAAAATAACATATTTATTAATGTGTCTAATGGCTTTGTATGATTTCTAGAAGAATGCACTGATATAACTCGGATTTAACAATATATTTAGATGTATTTGGAATTTTAAAACAGTTAAAGCCATATCTGCTCGCGAGCCCTACATGTTGTATACTTTAACTGCTTATTTTCTCACGTAATGGAACCGATTCAAGCTTTGTCTGTTAAAACCCAGTTTTTGATACAATAACCATCCTCATATATATATATATATATATATATATATATATATATATATATATATATATATATATATATATATATAAATATATATATATAAATATATATATATATATATATAAATGTGGGCGATATAATATATTTTTCAAATAATTAATAAAACATTTAAGGCGTATCATTTGCTGTCCACGTTGGATATAAAAGTCTTGAACTGGAAATGGAAGTACAAAAAACACTTCAAGGAAAAACAAAAGGCTTACTGGGCAACTTCAATGGAAACACAAAGGATGAATTCACTTTACCGAATGGAACAGTTTTAAGGTCCAATTTAACGGAAAGACACATTTTCTACTTTGCTAATACGTGTAATAAATTTCACAAGATTAATTGTTTTATTTTTTATTTTTATTTAGGCTATGCTGAAAAATTACAATTACAATGAACAAGACTTCTTAGTAAATATTTAATTAGTAGCGTAGAAAAAAAAATTCTAATTGGGTTTACGTTAGACTTTCTCTACATTTGTATTGTAAAATTTTTTAATGCAAATTCTTACCAGATCGAGTAACTCCAAGAAGTTCCATCTTCACTTACCCTGATGGTAAAACTACCCTAGATTTCCAGTTTCCTGACTTTGTCCCGTTCTTTTTTGACTCGGCAACTGCCAGCCAGTTGCAAAAAGCGAGAGACGTTTGTGAAAATGGATCAGATTCCTGTGTTTTCGACTACATCGTCACTAATGATGTAAACTTTGCTATCAATACCAATAACACAATTTCACAGTTTACGGCTCTAACCATGACTATAGGTAATGGTACAAGAAGTATTGTTTTACACTTTATTTAATGCATAGTAAAATGCAAGATAAGTTAAAGTTTAATAATTAACAATTTGATTTACTGTTGAAACACATTTAAAAAATTGTATTTTCGATCTGATGAGTTTATAAACTCATGAAAATTCCGAGTATTATTCGAGTTTTGATATACCCATCTTTAGATATATTTCCTGAATATTTTTATTTCTCTTGAATCCTTACTGTTAATATGTAGTATTAACTTTAACCTAAATAAGTCAATGCAGTAAATTATGACAAAAAGACAAACAATCATAATATTCAAAACTAAAATCACAGTAATTATGGAAATATTACTTTTGAAAATATGTTAAAATTATTTTAAAATGTAATAGTTGGATACTAAACATTTTTTCTCCCTTTTTAAAGTACATATGATGATTGATGTTGCCATTAAAATAAATGAATTTTATAGAGCTAGATCATTCTTGTAACTCGTAAATCAAATTCGGTTTTTAAAACAATTGCTTGTTCATGCAATTTTAAAAAAAAAATAAGAAGAACAAATAAGACCACACACATTTTTCAATTAAATATTTTAAATACATCTTTTTACAGCAAATTCTTATCCAGTGTTGAGTGTTAAAAGAAATCAAAATTATATGAATGGACGTTGGTTTGTTCAGGAAAATGTATGCAATTCCATAAGATTTAACGCAATTGATGAAGATGCAGACGAGTTAACGTACATCTTGGAAGAAAGTTCATCAGATGTATCTCTCAACCAGAATGGACTTTTGACCTACACACCCTCATTGAACACCCCAACCAGTCTGGCGTGAGTTAAATTAATTATATCATGTTTTTTTTTAAATATTTTCTTTTGTAACAGCATTTATCTGCATTAATTTGGATTATTATTGAATTGACCTAGCGATACACGGGTCAGATGAAGTAGAGATCAGAGTTACGTTTCTTGACTTAAAAAAATGAAGGGATGTTGTCAACAAAAACACCTAGACGGCTTTAAGGTTCCCAAATGTGAATCGGGTACTCATTTGAGCTGAATGAACCCTGGGACGTCCTACAGACTCAACTGCTAAACGAGATCCAAACTTGTGGCTTTCGGGTTAGCGCTTTTGTTAAAACTGCACAATCATTATTTTAGCAAATCATGTGTGAGAAACTATCTATATATATAATTCTCTTCAAGAAGACCATAGAAAACACCAAGCAGCTTAGCCACCACCCTCATCCCCACCTGTCAGGTGAGCTGTGGTTCGCCCCGAATGTTTACAATAGTAGAGCCGGTCCGAATAATTGACGGCTATTAGGGGCAGATAATTAGTTCTTAAACGATTTGACACTAAGGGGGTGACAATACGTTATGTTTGATATTTTCATTGTCGTCTGTAAACGGTTGTTTTCACTGCGTGGGGTAGGGGGGGGGAAGGCAGGGGGTGGGGTAGTGTCGAATTCACAAATTATGAATTGTTGATAAGTAGAAAATAAAATAACTAGATAGCGGCTTATGCTCCGTTGCAGGTCAACTCGTATTATAATTTTTTTTAAAAATAGTTTTCCATTTTCATTTGCTGTATACAGTAAATGCACACGATGATAGAGATGGTTACATTCGATGCAGATTATTTTAATTTAACTTAATTTTCTGTTTCAATTAGAAAAATATCCGAAAATTAAACAACAAATACATAATTAATAAACAATATATAGGCCTACAGATGAAACAAAAATTATTTCCAGGTTAAGGGTGAAAGACTCCAAAGATGGCTACTCACATGTACTGAACATTCCAATAACAATTTGTCCAAGATGTAGTAAACATGGTCAGTGTAACAGGAACATGACCAGAGAGACATAATATTTTGGAGGTCTTGTCAGAGTTTTTAAGTGTAGCTGCTTGCCTGGATATACCGGTATGTTTTAATGTTTAAAATGTTTGTATAAAAATAGTAGAATTTTTTCAGCAAAGCTTTGTCATACCTACCTTTGGAACGTTTTGGGCAGTAGGATTACCAGCTTTGGTTTCCTTTTTGGCAGCTCCTGTGATACTGTGATAATTCTGAGTCGCATAGATAACGTCCAGTCCACTGGGTCCTTCTGGGCAAGATCTGGCTCTTCTCATCTTACCTCCCCTTCTTGGTGTTTGGAGTTCAATGCGCAATCTTCCAATGGTCTATTTGACTATGGAACCATATTCTTACCTTTCCAAAAGCTGCCTATTAGGTTTGATAAGAAAAATGGACTTCGTTTTAATAGTGCACCTACGAACCAGAACATTTGGTAGGTCAAAATGGAATAACAAAGTAATATTAAGCTAAAAAGAAATAGTTGACTAATGTCTGTCGCAAAATACTGTATAAGCAGTAAACGTATACAAACTATTATAAACACAATGCCTTATAAACATCAAATAAGAAACATCATTAGCCTAACACCCAATGTATTTTTCCTGCAATTGGCATTTTTCTAGTTTTGTAATCATATTTGTAAGATAAAACAAACAATCATAGAAATAATAATGTATTCAATAATATTATTATGCAAATGTACAAATATAAGAATGAAAACATATTTAAGTGAATACATTATTTAAGGGAGTTTTTCTAGAAATCTTAAATGTGCATATTTTTAAATTGTTTTATAAACGCTTTCTTGTAGGACAAAAGTCATCTAAAATAATTGTTTAAAATATGATTTACTTTTTATTTATAATTTTTTTACTAAAGTGGTCTATTCTACCAAAAATATTTTTGTACTTAAAATATAAAGGAATTATTACAAGATTTAATGAATAAAAGAATACTGCTAGAAACCTAAAAGTTAATGCATATAAAATTTTGTAACAATCTCATACCACGATCAGTGGTTTGATATTTTGTGCTTGCATTTTAGGAATAAACTGTGAATCAGAACTCGATGCCTGTCAATACGAACCTTGTTTTAAAGGCCAGACATGCACTGACCTGACAGCAGCTCAACAAGGAAACAGTGAGATAGGATATGTATGTGGGCCTTGTCCAGCAGGGTACACAAACTACAGAGGCAGATGCATAGGTATTCAACAAAAATGCTGTACACTAAAATTTAAATGCTGTACACTAAAATTTAAATGCTGTACACTAATTTTAAACTGGTATTTAAAATTTATACAGTTTTAATAAACAACTCACAATTTCAATTCTAGTAACATCAAAAAGTAAACTTAAAAGTACATTTTCACCCAACGGTCACGTGAAATACAACAATGATTTTTAAAAAAATTCTCACGTTGTAATATCAGTAAATCAAAAATTGTTATGTTTAAAGAAGGAAGTGCGCGGAAGTGTGGGGATCGGGTTGGTTAGATGAAAGGGTTGCCGAAGTTTGTTTGAGAACATCGGTTACCAAGTGTTAATTTAAGTTTAATTGTTATTGGCTTTATAAAATTATTTAACTAACATCAACAGTCTTTCTACATTTTCTCAGATGTCGATGAATGCACTGTGTCTAGCAGGTGTGATCATGATTGCAACAATATAGATGGTGGCTATGAATGCATTTGCAGAGAAGGTTTCGTTCTCAATAGTGGAGATTCAAAGACATGTTTAGGTAAAGTTTACGGTGTTTATAAAACTAATTGTATAATTTAAAGGTTAAAACTGAAAACGCGCAATGTATTTAATGTATGTTGTCTGTATCCCCAGCCAAGAACTGCTCCAACAGATGTGTGACACAAAACACTTTGTACTGTGATGAGGGTGTGAGTCAGTGTGTATGTATGGATGGCATCAAGACACCTGACTGTTCTGTTACTGTCTTTAAGTGTGGTACCGCAGGACTATCGGGCGGTCCATACGCTTTACTTAAGAGAATGTTTTGTGTACTTGCTAGTTATATACACTCACTGAAATCTCAATAGACAACTCATGCGCTACTTATTACTTTATACACTAAATACTGATATCAAAACAACTTGCAACTTATTTCGCTACTGTCTGTCTAAACTCCTATTTCTATTTACTTAATTCCGATGTAACAATGCACAACTTAACAAAATACTCTACAAATGTGTGGTAATAGCATTTAATAAAAAAAATGTATTATATAATGATACACATGTGTACATTTAAAGTGTTTGAAGTTTAAACAAAGGTAAAAAACGGAATTAAATTATATATTTATTTAAATACCGCATTATTTTAGGCGTTTTGATTTATTTATTAAAAGAATCCCACACATGCTGCTTAAATGTCGAATTTTTCATAGTTTTGAAACAAATAGCAATTTAAATAGACCTTCACTTTGGACTGTCCATACGCATTGAGAAAACTCAACAGGCTCTGACACATCTATCCTCCCTGTTGACGTCATAAACGAACGATCCCTGAAGAATATTATTAAAATCATTAATATGTAACATTTCCTTGGTGGGTAACTGCGTAATGGTTGTTACGGGTCAGTTGTAGGTTAGACTAGAATAGGATAGAATGATCTAGAATTAGGGGAGAGTGAGTGTGTGAGTTGAGTTTACCCTAGAATATTGTTAACCCCGGTGTGTTTGTGTATTGTTATCCCAAGGTCGAATGCGGTATAAAAGCTGGAGTGAATGGTTGTCAGGGGTTAGTTAGTTGGCAGGGTTAGGTCGAGGGCTATGTTGTAATGTGATATGTGAGACCTAATAAACGTATCGAACGTTAACCCGAGTCGTTCTTGAATTCGAATCTAACCCGGACGTAACAACTGGTGGCCAGTATTAAAGTAAAGATAGCGCGATCATCAGAACGTCATTACCACTGGATGTCACCATCACTAGACGTCACCATCGCTAGACGTCACCATCACTAGACGTCATCATCACTGGACTATACCATCCTGGGACCATCAGAACGTCAGTACCACTGGGAGTCACCATCACTAGACGTCACCATCGCTAGACGTCACCATCGCTAGACGTCACCATCACTAGACGTCATCATCACTGGACTATACCATCCTGGGACCATCAGAACGTCAGTACCACTGGGAGTCACCATCACTAGATGTCACCATCGCTAGACGTCACCATCACTTGACGTCATCATCACTGGACTATACCATCCTGGGACCTTACCTGAACAGAAAGTCGCAATCAGAACGTCATTACCACTGGACGTCACCACCACTAGACGTCACCATCCTGAGACCTTACCAGAACAGAAAGTCGCCATCACTGGGTTCTACCATCCTTGGACTTTATCAGAACAGGAAGTCGCCATCACTGGGTTATACCATCATTGGACTTTATCAGAACAGGAAGTCGCCATCACGGGATTCTACCATCCTTGGACTTTATCAGAACAGAAAGTCGCCATCACTGGGTTCTACCATCCTTGGACTTAATCAGAACAGAAAGTCGCCATCACGGTATTCTACCATCCTTGGACTTTATTTGAACAGAAAGTCGCCATCACTGGACTCTACCATCCTGGGACCTTACCAGCACAGAGCCTTGCCGTCACAGGACTTTTGTCTTTGTCGATCCAGGTCTTCGTCTTCACATGACCCGGCCATTACAGGATTTACCATTGTTTTCGAAGGGTTTAAAGTAGGGGAAGGGACTACTACAACAGATTTGTATTTGAGGTGAGTGTTTTTGAATTAGTCTGGGGCACGGTACTCACAACCGGGGATTACCCTTGCCTAACATTATATTGGGTATTACAATTTTGGCATCCAATCCTAAGTGGATAAGGTGAGATGGCTAGCGAAGGCTTAACGCTAGAGCATTTTATAGCGTTAGGGGAAAGATGTAAACTAGAGGGAAGGGAGCTGTTGGAATGGGCTGAGACTAAATTGTTAG